ATCCCTCTCCCTCTCCCTCTCCCTCTCCCTCTCCTCTTCCCTTCTCCTCTCCCTCTCCCTCTTCCTCTCCCTCTCCCTCTCCCTCTCCCTTCTCCTCTCCCTCTCCTCTCCCTTCTCCCTCTCCCTCTCCCTCTCCCTTCTCCTCTCCCTTCTCCCTCTCCCTCTCCTCTCCCTCTCCCTCTCCCCTTCCCCTTCTCCCATCCCTCTCTCCTTTCCCTCTCCCTTCCCCCATCCCTCTCCCTCTCCCTCTCCCTCTCCCTCTTCCCTCCCCCTCCCCCTCTCCCTCTCCCTCTGCCTCTCTCTCTCTCTCTCTCCCTCTCTCTCTTCTCTCCCCGTGCATGTTAACAAGCTTTTCACGATGTTAATTTTTGTCGTTTTTCGCGCGGACGTTAGGACGGCGAGTGGCGAGTGCTGCCTGAATACGAACGATGACGAACGTGGAGTCGTGCGTCCGCCGCTTTTGACTGCGACGCGCGGACGCCGCACGCTGCTCGCTGCCGTGCTCGCCACTACGACAGTTGCGCGGCTGTGGCACCGTCGCTGCGCAACGAGTGCTCGGCGTGGTGCGACGTCGACCCGCCACCTGCCCCGCTTCCACACCCTACCTGGCGTCGTACGGCGTTTGGTAACTGAGGTTGTGACTTTTTACGCTGCTAGGCAGGCTACCTGGCCATCAATTTTGGGTTTGGTACTGTAGGTTATGTATACCCTATGCCTGTTAGAGGTGCCAACGAACACCCGCTGCCGTTTCCACCACCGTACCTGGCGTCTACTGGCTTTGGAAAACTGTACGGTATGCTACGTTTTACGCGTTGCCTAGGCAGTACCCACGGATACCTGTTTCTTCGTTTCACAGTTAGCCTGGCGTCGTACTGGGTTCGGTTAACTTAGGTATGTTACGTTTTTCACTACTAGGTAGGTGCCTAGCATTGTTTGTATTTGCGAACTGTAGGCTATGTACATTCTACGCTACTGAAGGCAGCGTTACCTGGAATCATGCTATGCTATGCTATGCTATGCTATGCTATGTTGTTACATTACGGTGCATTACGTTATTTTATACGTTATGTTTCTACCTTTGGGTTTTTGTTCTGTTGTGTTACGTATTCTGTTTATTATCTATTTCCGATATTTTCACATACGTCCATGAGATATTCGTGATGTTAAATAAGCTAAGGACTCTTTTTTATCTCTTAATCTCTTAACTATATTTCTTCAATCATATCAACATATGTGGCTGTCAATGCTCGATCAGCAGCTATTGATAAGCACACCTGTGAATCACTATAAAAAAAACGCACTATATAAATAAGCACGCGCACTCCAATAAGTAAACAAGATGACACAGTCCTGCAATACAAAGAGGATCGCTGAGAATTGCACCCTTCTCTTGCAGGATTACGTCATCTTATCTAGTCAAGGAGGGCAGTATACGCATGAACGAACGTGTCAGCATACTAACCAGCGGTGTCGGTGAGCTTAGCAAAGGCCTTCGCGAGGTTGGGAAAGTCGACCCAAGTCTGACAGCCTAGATGGTAGAAGTGCATCGATCGATCGTGGCACAGGTCGCCGCTGTCTGCTAAGTAGGCATTGCCACCGTACACGACCATGTAGTTACCTATCGCAAAAACACACACGCGTCAGCTTATGTCACCTGATCGAATGACATATCTCTCTTGCATACCTGATAGGTAGCTCTAGCGAATGATTGTTGCACCAGCAGGCATTAGGAACTATTGCTGCCGCCCTAGGACTAGAGTTTTATCTGGTTAATTTTGTCTAGAACCTGATTTATTTTTCGTGAGAGATAATATCCAGTTTGTGAATTTTGGACACTGACGATTTTGGTGAAATTACTGAATAACATACAGTTTCGATCAAAGATGGTTGTCATTGTGAAAAATATACAGACAAATTATAAAAATAATGTAAATAGCAACTCAACAATAAAAATAATCAACAAATTATCAACAACCTGACCCAATTATTGCTGACACTAAACCCTCAACTAATTGACAAACAACCGGACAAACAACACGACATCGTCGCACCTATGATGTTGGCGCTGTGATAAGCTCGCGGCGCGGGCGGCATGGCGGCCGGGTGCAGGTAGGGGGCGCCGCTGTCGCCCGTCTCCAGCTGCAGCCAGACGTTCTCGTCGACGTGGTAGGCCCAGAGCGCGGCTACGCGGCGGCCAAACCACGCGCGGTGCTCGCGATGTGCGAACCCGCCGTACACGAGCAGCGATGCCGTCTCGGCGTGGAACACCGCCGAGTGGCCGACGACGCGGTGCGGCGCCCCCTTGCCGTTGCGGTGCACGACGCGCTCCCAGGTGGCGCCGGCGCGCCGCACGTCGACGCGGAACATCGCCGAGGAGAGCTCGTCGTCGCCGATGCCGCCGTACAGGTAGAGCCACCGGTCGCGCACGAGCGTCAGCGAGTGTCCGGCGAGTCCCGGCAGCCCCGTGTCGCCGCCCGCGCCGCGCCGGCGCCACCTGCTGCCCGCGGGATCGTACGTCCACAGCTCGTCCGAGTACGAGCCGTCGGCCGTCGCGCCACCGTACATCCAGAGGGCGCCGTCGTAGGCAGCCATCGCGTGGCCGTAGCGCGCGGAGGGCGCCGCTGACCCCGCGGTCGTCGTCACGGCGACCCAGCGGCCCTCGCTGAAGTTGTAGGCGACGAGGTCGCCGAGGATCGCGTTGAGCGTGTAGCCGCCGAACAGCCAGAGGGCGCCGGTGTCGGGTAGGTAGGCGGCGGCGTGGGCGGCGCGGGGCGCGAGGCCGCAGCCGTCGCACGACACGTTTTGCCACGCGTTGTCGCCCTGCTGGCCGAGCGTGTGCAGGCTGCAGCTGTCGCCGGCGTAGCCGTCCTCACACACGCACCTACAACCAGGAGGAGCGCGCGTTGTCAGATAACAAATCACTTCTTTAATGTTAGTCTCAACATTGACCTTTTCTCATAGAATGGACCTCTATAGACTGCTATAGACCTCAATATCAAACTACGAGATGTTAGGTTGTTAGGTGGTTAGGTTACGAGATGTTGGGCTAACGTTAGGGCTAACAGGGCCCAGGGTATTAACTAAGATTGAGAAAGCTTGAGTCTCAGGTGTCTTGAACATGTGTCCAAGCAAAGCAAGGGGACTCAATGGGCATCTCCCTGGTCTTTTAATGGGTTTTTATAGTTCATAAATAATGAGAAGTGTTCCTTCTAATGCAATAAAGCAAGTAAAAAAAATCGAAATAAAAAAAATCGTACAAAAATCGTACAAAATAAATTCATTAATTGAAATAAGTGCATGGCCGTTGGCAGCCGTTGTCAGCCATCTACAGGAAAATTGACCCTCTTAGTCTAATATGTAAAATTGGACGTCGAAAATACAGCAAAATGGCTCGATAGCTGCCTACAGCACACGAATATAGCGAGACGCGATGCCAGTGCTCTCTACCATTGACAGCTATCAAATTAAACCGCCTGGCCATCGTAAGACAAAGCGTTCAACTCTTATGTTCATCCACTGTTGCATTTTTAACGTGGCAATCTTAAAATTTAGCCTTCAATATTCCATCCTACTCTCATTACTTTATTAATGTAATTTACACTAGTCTATCGCCATGGTCTCGAGTTGCCTATAGTCATCCCAATAACTGTAGTAACAGTAACCACTAACCAAACCTGTAGACTTTCACAGTAGCTCATTGCCTAGCAGGGGGCCAGTGTCCGAAACATTTGAGTCGTAATATTGACTGCATAACTGCATTGTCTGTGGATGCTGACTTCCTTACCTACTTCGCTGCATGTTATTTGAAACTCATAGGCTTTCTATTGATCGTCCTGCACGTGACTGCTAATTACTATGTATATTGTATCATATGTATTGTATTATATATGTATTCTATCATATATGTTCACTGTCAAAGAATCACCATTACTGTATATATGCGTATCGGTCTATCCACTTGATATTATCTAACGCTATCCCGTGCTGCACGGTTGACATGGTAACAGGCATAACACGATAAGACACTCACATTAACAAGGGCGCATCACTTCATAACTAGTAAGCAGAGATGATGTCAAGCGAGCGACGTCTGACACGAAACACTCGGGCGGGACGACATTAAAGAGATCACGTCGCCGTAAATAGTAAAAGTTAAAAAAAAGTATGCCCACTTTTTCACAAAATGTAAGTGATTCTGTTCACCTTTTATGGTTAAATTGCTGCATTATATTTCCTATTTTGCTGTTCCGTTCGATGTGAACAAACGCTCGTGACTCATACATAGCCCATAGCAAGCATTTAATGTCGTGATAAATATATCAAATCACCCAGTTTTTTTGGGGATTTTTAACTAGTTGAAAAACAATCTTATCAGGTAAGTATTTGAGGATACATTTAGTACCGTCAGTACTTACTTTTCACGTAAAATGTGAAATTTTCTTTACAAATATACACCATAGAAAGTCAATATAAGATGAGGCGAGCGTTTGGCTTACCTCTGCGCCTCCGCGCTGCACGTCCCCCTCCCGCGCGCCTCGCCGCAGCCCTCAGGGCAGATCTCCACGTGACAGGAGTCGCCCTTCCAGCCCGGGTAGCAGGAGCAGCGCCCCAGAGTGGCACTGCACGAGCCATGCTCGTTACAGTCGGCCGGACAGTCGTGGATCTCGTAGGAGGCGTTGAAGCCCGCGCGAGCGTAGTTTGTATCGCTGTATAGATGCACCAACATCTGAAAGATACGATGCCGTCGTGATAGCGACCCATCGAGCACGGCGACACCCTAACGATGACTTACCGCGCACAGTAATGATAACCATCATCATCATCATTACCTATCGTCACCACCGCTATCATCGTCATGTTAACTATTATCATCATGATCTGTGTCACGGTCGTGTTAACCAGCACGACAAAGACACCGCGGTCGAATTTGAATCTTGTTCGGAGCAATGAAAGTGTTGCGTCTTGGGTGTAATCGGAAATCTTAAGGCAACGCGGCGATTTGCAGGAGCACCAAAAGGAAACTTTTCCTTCAAGGAAGACTTATCAAGGCAACTATTACCAACTACTAATTTTGATGCGTGAGACAAAGAGAGACAAATACACAACATTGAATTTACGAAAAGCAGGGGCGGATCCAGAGGGTTTGGGTGACCAGTTTCCATATGTTGTTCTGCAGGTAGGGGGGTCCGGGGGCATGCCCCCCCCCCGGGAATTAAAAAAAATGAGGCTATATTTGGTGTATTCTGGTGAAATTTGAGGCCTGTGACCGGTTTCTGGAAACCGGTGCAAACCGGCCTAAATCCGCGCCTGAAAAGGACATGGAATCAAACCAGTTAGGGTAGCTACGGTGCGTCATCACCACGAATAATATTCAGCGACACCAAGGGCAAAACAAGGACAACCACCACGACACTTGACATCGGTCCCCGGGGTGAAATTCCACCTCGGACGTTCGCCCCGATAGGAACCTGTCCGGCAGAGTGAGCACGCCCTGAACGTGACTTACGTATCCGGATGTGGCCGTGAGTGGCGGCGGAACCGTGGGGCCGCTGAGGGTTGCCAGCGTGGGGGCGCTGTAGTTGTTGCCGTCGTATATGAACACATAGTCGTAGGAGCATTCCGTGTCCAGCTGCAGGAACGTGATCGTGATGAATCTCCGAGAGCTTCCAGCTGCAACATACACGCGGTACGATGAGGGGTTAGAACAACGTACCGAAAACAGTGACGTCAATCGTCATAATGACGTACCGACAACAATGACGTCGACCTCATAATGATTCGGTTTACGACAACAATGACGCCTCGAACCGTTATTAACGAGTACGACAACAAGTGACGACGACCTGGTCATTCAAATGACGTACTCGACCACAATACGTCGCACCGTTATAACGACGTTACCGACAACAATGACGTCGACCCGTCATAATGGACGTACCGACAAACAATGGAGCGTCACGCGTTCATAACGATGTCCGACAACAATGACGTCGACCGTTATAATGACGTACTAGACAAGCAATGACGTCGACCGTCATAGACAAGGGAATGACCATCGACCGTTTAACACATGTACCGACAACCAATGGACGTTCGACTGTCTATAAAATGACGTACATGACAACACATGACGTCGACCGTCATAACGACACACAATGACGTCGACCGTCTAAACGACGCTACCGACAACAATGACGTGACCGTCATATATGCTCCGTACATTGCTCCGTCGTGACCATCACGGTCCAGCGCTGCGACACTCGCCCTCCACACTCCACGCTCCTACAGGCACGTTCGCTTCCAGAACTCGCCTTACTTCCGCTCTCAACGCTGTGTCCGTCCCCCTTCCTGTCCCCCACCTCCTCCATCCCTAACTCCATAACATGACTTCTTCGACCCCTTTACTCTGGCTCCACTACCCCTGCCCTTACCTCTCTCATTTCCTCCACGTCATAGACACACAGTCCCTTCTTACCTCCTCCTCTCCTGCTCGCTCCACACGTACTACCTCCTACTCCGTCACTTCACCGCTCTCAAATACCGCCTGTCGCGATCCCCTCCGTCGCCTCTCCCCTGTTCCGCCATACGATCTGTTCCCGTTATCTACTCTACATACCACCTCCCGTCGACTCTCCCTCCATCATCTCATACTCCTGCCATACCGTCGAGCTATCCATCCCCTTCGTAATCGTCATATGTCTCACGTACCCTGCTCTATCGCCGGCTCGCTACCTCTTAATCCCTCGCACTCCTGCCTTCGTCCCGCGACTGCCCCACTAATACCTCGTTCATAACGAAAGTACCCTCCTTTCCGCCAACTAGACTAGCTCTACGCGTGTGCACGCCCTGCGGTCACACGCTCTCATCTATGTCGCCAACTCCCATCGACCAGACCTAGACGATCCATGAACCACCAATGCGTCGACCGTCATAATTGGACGTACGACAACAATGACCCGCTATCTGACCTATCCTAAGATTGATCCCCCCGCACGCATCCTCACCTGCACCCTCCTCTCCACTGTTCCACACATTATCCTCTCCTCCTGTACCGACCCCCTCTGCTCCACGCCTTCCCCCCACTCCCTGTGTCCTTTCCGATATACTCTTGCTCACTACCCCACTACCAATACTCTCTCTGAGTTAATTCTAACTAGACATAGCTCTATCGTGCGCCAGACTCGCGCGCTCAGTACCTCCGCACCCGCCTGCACCTCTCTATCCTATCTACCCCCGCACGAGCTGTCTTCCTCCCTCCATCGATCCACGACGCGCCCTTCCTCTCTACATCCCGATCCGCAGCCACTCTCGCCACCTCTCCAGCACCATTCCCACACGATCCTCTCGGCTCTGGCGCTACGATCGTCGCCATAGGCTATCGCGTCTCGGGCCTTCAGCAATAGCTCGTGTACTCTCAGTCCGCATCGCTCACATCTTTACTCTCCTTCATTCCCGCCTGATTCCTCCCCCCTCCGTCCTCAACCGTTTAACCCGGTGACGACCTGCAGCCTCACCGCCTACTCCTACAACTCCCTCCTCACCGCCCACACTCTCCTATCCCGCTACCTTGCTCCGCCGATCCTCGTTCCCTCACGTCTCCTGCCACGCCCTTTCCATCTCCTCACACACTACCTCCCTCCCTTCTTCCTCTCGTCTCTGCACCTCCCTCCCCTGCCCTCGTCCCTGCCCTCCCCCCCTTGTAACTGCCACTCTTTCTCTCCCCGTACGAAACAATGAGAGTCAACCGTTATAACGACGGTACCGACAACAGTGATCGGCGCTCTCGACCGTGCCCTCACCTCTCTGTCCGGCAACCACCCCTCCCCACCTCCGCGTGCCCCAGCTAACCTCGTCCTCACCTCATCATCATCCTCGTCCCACTCCTTTCCCCCGCATCCTCTCCCCTCCTGTACTCCGCACCCTCTCAGCGCGAACAACCCCTGCAGGCTTATTACCCCACATTGCTGAACATCCGCACTCCGACCGTCCTCTCTCCCCCACAGACATACATATCTTTATAACGATGCCGCTTCCCTCCCATCTCCGCGTCTCCCACTCTTCCTCATCCCACACGTCGTCCTCTCCCTCCCCTATTTGATACCACCTATCTTACTACCGCACCCCCTCTCCCACCCTCGTGCGGCTTAACGCTGCTCAGACCGCAACAGTGACCGATCGACCGTTCTATCCGCATCATTGACGTTACGACAAACCCACTCCTCTGATCGCCTGTGTATCTCTCGACGTTTATAACGACGTCACCCGACAACACACTGACGTTTCGGACCGTTTATAACGACGTACCGACAACAATGAGCGTCGGACCGTTTCATAATGACGTTCACGAACAACACTATGATCGTGTCCGGTACCGTCTCTCTACCTCTATAACCGATTTCTTCTGTTACGACACGAATGACGTCCGACCGTTATGAACGACGTTACGACAACAATGACGACGACCGTTATAACACTACGCGACAACAATAGACGTCGATCGTCATAATGACGTACGACAACATGACGTCGACCGTTAGAACGACGTACCGACACAATGATGTCCGTCGACCCGTTATTACTACGATCCCCTTTTCCCGTACCGATCTAACAATGATCGTCGACCTCATTTAATGACGTAACCGACAACTAATAGACGTCTCGACCGTCAGTTAATGGACGTTACCCGCACACACATGTACTGCTCGATCTCGTATATAACGACGCTACGCGACAACCATTTCGTGTACCATGTCGACCCGTTATATACGATCCGTACCGACAGCAACAATGACGTGTCGACCTGTTTCCATCAATTGGACGTACGACATAAATCAATGACCGCTCGGACGTCCATAATGTACCTTATCCGACTTAATCAATGACTCGTTCATCCTCTGCGCATCCTCTTTCTGTCTCCCCACCTCCCTCCTTCTCATACTCTCTCTCCACTCCACGCCTCTCCTCCTCTATCTCCCGCACTTCCCCTCTTAGTGCTGTTTTCTAACCTTCTTCTCCCCAACTTGACGTCTGTCTCGACCGTTATTAACGAGTCGACAACCAATGACGTCGACCGTCATAATGACGTACAGGACAACAATTGACGTCGATCGTCATAATGACGTACCGACAAGCTAATGACCAGTTGACCGTTAGAACGACGTACAGACAACACATGACGTCGAGCCGTCTAGTAATGACGTACGTCCGACAAACAATGACTCGACCGTCAATAATGACGTACCGACAACAATGACGTTGGACCGTGTATATTACGACGTACAGACACAATGACGTCGATCGTCATAATGACGTACAGACAACAATGACGTCAACCGTTATAACGACGTACACGACACAATGACTCGATCGTTCATAATGACGTACAGACAACAATGACGTCGCGACGTTATAACGACCGTACCGACAACAGTGACGTCGATCATCATAATGACGTACCGGACACTCCTCACAATGATGTCGACCGGTTATAACGACGTACCGACACACATGCAACATCGAGCGTCATAATACGATTAGCCGACAGACAATGACGACGACCGTATAAACGACGTAACCGACAACCAGGAACGTCGACGCGTCATAACGACCGTACCGACAACCAATGACGTCGAGCCGTTATAACGATCGTACCGAACAATGACTCGAGTCAATGACCGTATGCACAACTCGACGCCGTTATAACGTACTACCGACAATAATGACGGACGACGTTCATATAACGACGTAACCGACAACAATGACGTCGACCGTCATAACGACCGGTACCAGACAAACTCGACGCGTACGACCGTTAACATGTAGCGACAAAGGTGATGAACAACAATGACTCGGACCGTTGTCCAAGGCCATATGACGTACGAACAACAATGCGTCACCGTATATAACGACATCCGAACAACAATGACGTCGGACGTTCATTAACGGACGTCCGAACAACAATGACGTTCGACCATCATAACGAGTAACGACACAATGAAGATCGACCGTCATACGACGTATCGACAACAGTGACGTCGACGTTATAATGACGACGAACAACAATGATATCGACCGTCATGACACGTACAGACAACAATGACTCAACCGTCATACACGGACAACAATGACATCGAGCCGTCATAATGACGTACCGACAAACAATGACATCGACCCGTTATAACGATCGTACCGACAACAATTGACGTCAGCCGTGTATAATAGCTACCGACAACAATGACATCGACCGTCATAATGACGCGTACCGACAACAAATGACATCGAGCGTGCAGTAACGACGTAAATCCACAATGACGTCGGACCGTATAATCGACGTACCGACAAACAATGACGTCAGCCGTTATAATGACGTACCGATCAAACAATATGAACTTTTCGACCGTTAATAATGACTACGAACACACAATGACGTCGATCCGTCATGACGACGTACAGACAACAATGAGCGTCAACCGTATAAGCGACGAGACCAATGACACACTCGAGCGTCATCAATGAGACGTACCGACAACAGCGGATTTCGTCTTTAGTCTCATCTTCTTCAGCCGCCCATACAACCATACCAATGCAAGCCAGTGCACGCACTCGCGAGCCTTCTTCTCTTCGCTCTCTCTCTTTCTAAACAGGCAAGCGCTCACAAATCCTCCATCTAC